ATATCAGGGCCAGTGTATTAACAATTATATATGTAAAAATAAAATGGTAATGCTCCACAAATGCTTTTACCAAAGAAGCAAGAAACTCATATGAGGAAAACATCTTACTAAATCTTATCAAAGCAAGTACATATTGAGGATGAAATCACTTAAGCTTCCAACTAAATATTGTTCTTTGGCTGGTATTTATTTCATAGCTAACAACAGAAACTAAAAATATTGAGAAGATGGTGCTTGGCATGTGACTCTCACATACAAACACATGAACAAGCCTGTATATCAGGGCCGAGTCAAACTGAGCAAATACTTCTAGAAATTTCCCCAGTGTGTTTTATTCAGTTATTAGGGGAATTCATAGCCTCAGCTCTGCCACATATATCCAGCCCAGATGCTCAAAACACTTGATTTCACCCTGGGGCAAAATTCCATATTCAAGACTAGATCTAGAACAGATGGCTACTCCACCTCTTCTATAATCTGGTTGTATCCTATGAATAAATGAAAAGACTAAAGGGAACGCAGATTCCACAACAGGGCCAGAACAAACATTATTACTATTAATTCTACTAATAATATTTATTAAGTACTTTTGTGTACATGATATCCTAACACACTATGTATAGTATGAGTCCTGATATGCATAATGTTCTATATAGGTACGGTGTTCATTTCTTAACAGTGCTCATTAAGGAATATGCACAGCCCCAGATTTCAGAGTTTTCCTTCTGAGCATCATTATGAGCATCATTCTTGAAGCATGTATGAAACTAATTCCTCAAGAATTTGATGAGTCCTATTATGTGCCAGTACTCTGAGGATCAGAAATGACATGCCCCTGCCCACAAGTTAGCCATAATCTTACCGGAAAACAACACAAGTTTGTGTTAATTTATATGGTACACACAAAAATGTTCAGGAAATAAATAAGAATCATACTCCAATTACTACTACTACTAAGAGTTGATACATCGATAGCATTTCTGGTATAACAGGTACTGTTCTGAGCTTTAGCTATGACAAATTATTTAAATTCTAATCATAGCTTTGTCCCATTATTACACCAGATAGGGAAAGGGAAACTAAAGCAAAGAGGATGAAGTCACATGTCTGAGATGACATACCTAGGAAGTGGCAGGGTTGGGCTCTATCCTCTTAACCGTGGAGTTAAAGAAAGGATTCATGAAAGAGTAAGGCACTCAGATAAATCTGAAAACTACAGCAAGTAGGGGGAGAGACTTTTAGATAACAAGGAGAACTTGAGTAAAGATAGAAATAAGTCCAATATGGATGAATGCTGGGGAGCAGTAGGAAAGAAAATTAGGTTTGGGTAGAATAGCAACTCATTACATAAGTCTTAACTCTTTAAACAGATAGTAGCTTAGACCTAACAGTAGGATTCAGGAAGTCACTGATAGTATGTTGCCTCAGATAAGTGTCTCCCAAACACATCTGACTAGTTCCAGGGGTATATGTACTTGTACAAGGAAGAGTAGGATGACCATTCCTAACATCCAGCTATCCAGTCTCTGTCAAGGTTTATGATTTGGGCACTGAGTTCATGGTGGTCCTTGATTAGAAAAATGTATCAGAGAGCAGCAGTGGTGCCACCATCAACTACAAATTGGCCTTAAAACCAGAAAAAAAATACCAAATGACCATTAGAAGTTGTGTATTTTTAAAAGGTGCTACTAAAGGACAAACTGATGCATAGTTTGTTATACAGATTCAAGTTTTAAAACTAAGGTTGTGTTTTTTAAATTTGTTACACACACTAATCACTTCATTAATTTGTTAAATGCAAATTATTGGCCTGGGATTTTGATTCAACAGATTTCGCATCCAATTGTACACATACAATCAAATTATTCTAATGCAGGTAATCTAAAATACTAAACTAAAACAAAGTATAAAACTTCTGAAAGAGTACTAAATGTGGTTTGACCATATCCTTCTCTACTACATAATCTTTAAAATGTATTCAAATTAAAAAGCCATGAAACCACAGAAATTCTGAATTCATCTATTAAGTCATCTACATCCTAAATCATTGTTAGTGAATGATAGGAAGGACCAATACGTATGTCATCCTTGAATCACTAGAGTTTAGATACCAATTCATCAGTAAGTATTATCCATATCATTAGAGATAAATAAAAGGTTTGGATTTTTGACATAAGGTTTTCGCTAAAGTATTTTACGTGTAGAGATACATCCAATCTCATATCATGAAGGTCATGAAATCTCATGAAGTGTAGAGTAATCAAATATCTCAGTCATGAAAACTTTTTTCTATTATAAAACTTCTGGTTCTCATTCATCCTTCTTTAGTAAAATGTCATATTCAAGGAATAATTTAGGAAAAATAATAATTGGCATTTTAAATAAATCTTATAATTATATCTTTTCTATTTAATATCCTGGCTAAAAACTGAACAAATAAAACGCTAAGCTTAATATAAAACAAAACAAAGGTATATGAACCTAACAGTCATAAAAATAGTTTTATGTAGTCAGCAAGATAATGGCAATATTCAGTGATAGCATTCATTGTAAGTTAAATTGTGAGACTATTTAACAAACATTTGGAAGAAAATGACACTTACTAAATGATATTTACTAAAACAAATGCTCCATAATCCTCTAGGGTCCTCATAGGCAAGCATTACTGGTTTAACTTCACACCAATTGAAACCTTCATTGATAGAGATAAAATGTTTTATTTCATGTAATTTGTAGATGTTTTTAAAATGAGTACAGGCCCAAGATATCTATGAGTCCCAAAGAAACAACAGCAAAGGATTTCCTCTAAATAGGGTACTATTAACCATGGCATAAAATGTTACAGGTTCCTATTTCTAGGGGAACGAAGAATATAGCATTTATAGATGAGATCCAGTAATTTGCATACCTACTGAACCTATAAACCCAGAAATGTTAGTACTTATAAATAAGAAAAATATCCAAGGAGATTTAAAAATATTCTACTGTACGTGTAGCAATGTACATTCTCTACTAGAAGCATAAGAGATGCAAACTACTGACCCATATATAGAGAGCAACCAAAAAAACCAACTGATTTGAGAATACCAATATGTCAACACATATACAATACTACACTTTTAATTTAACACAAATTGTTATGGGAGGGTCTAAATGAAGGGGTCAAATGACGAGGGCATTTCTTGGGAAGGAAGACAATAAGTGGTGATGAAATTTTATTCTGTAAGAGGACATTGTTTTTATAAAGGTCTATAGATTGAAAATATTTTCTTATATGTACAGCAGTATCTATTGTTTGATACACTGGTTTTTAACAATGCATGCCATCTGAAGCTAAAAGTCATGCAAGGAGCTTAATCTCAATTAAGATGGTGGGGACAGGGGAAGAACATCACAATATCTGCAGAAAGGTTACTTTGCCACTACAGTTAATCTATTTTGGCTCTTCCTTTAAAGGGTCAAAAAACTACCATGAAAATTTCACATTCCCCATACATATTTCATATGCTTAGTTACTGATAGTTTCTGCAAGACTACTCTTTGCAAGGCACTATGGCACATGTTGCAGAAGTGGAGATTCATAAAACATCATCCTTGCCCTTAAGGAACTCACCTTGGTCTATCTCTTGGCAAGATTTGTTTACTGACCATAAAACAAAGAACAAAAGGCACTAAATAGTTGAAAACAACTCACAGTGGGGTTAATATGGCCAGATTCCCAGCCTTCAGGGCTGGTGCCTCTGAATCCAGAGCCTCTCCTCAGAGGAATACTGCCTGACTGCAGGGGGCAGAAACAGAGCCCAGAAGTCCTTAAGTTCCTTCCAAAGACTTTCAAACAAGCTACTTGTTTTAGCACCGTATCTTCTCTTCCTTCTTCGTTCTCAACTTTGGTGGTTCCTTGTGCAGCCAATTCCTAAGCCTTTCTATTTTTCTTCAGCTTTTTGAATAATTTCTAGATGGTCCACATCTGCAGGCACTTAATGCTTATCTTCTCTTTGTTCAGCTAGGTCATTTACCTTCCTCTGTTCATTCCCTGTCCTGATAAGTCTGTGGAATGAAATTCAGATGTCTCCTAGCATCACAGGACATGGAATAAGTTTCTGCTTGTTTTGTTCTTGCATGGATGATTTTCTTTCCAATCAAAAATTAGGGGTTGGGGGGACAAGTAGAGTGGAGCAGTGTTGTGGTATAGCAGGTTAGGCTGCTGCTTATAATACCAGCATCCCGTTTTGGAGTGCTGGTTTGAGTCCCGGCTGGCCCACTTCTGAGCCAGGTCCCTGCTAATGCACCTGGGAAGACAGCACATACCTAGGCCTCTGCTACCCATGTGGGAGAACATGTGGGAGGCTCCTGGTTTTGGCCTGACCCAGATCTGCTCCTTATAGTCCTTTAGAGAGTTAAGCAGTTGATAAAAGTTCACTTGCTCGCTCACACTCTCTCTCCCATGCTCCCTCCCTACTTCTCTCTCTCTCTGTGAGACTATCAAATAAATAAATCTTTAAAATTAATTAATTAATTAATTTTTACTTTATTTGAAAGCCAGAGTGACAAAGATTGAGAGACAGAGATCTTCCAGTTGCTGATTCACTCCTCAAATGCCTGCAACTGACAGGGCTGGGCCAGGATGAAGTCAGGAGCCCAGAACTCAAATTAGGTCATTGCTTGGATGATATTCAAAATGTGAACACAACGGAAATTATTTAATTCCCTCATCTTCAACCTGTCTCGATTATTTTATTGTTTTAATTTCATACCTGAAATAAATGTAAGACCATTATGAAAGATATACTAATAAACAGAATAGAAAATTTTAAATTCAATCTATAAAAACAAGTTTTAGGCAGGGAAATTTTCAGCAATGTGACGAGTAAGAAAAGATTCTTTGTGGGTCAGGAAATCAGGAAGAAACGTTAAAGTAGGCCCCAAATCCTCTGCAAGAGGCCACTGCTTATGCTGCTTGAAGTAAACTATGAGACAGTAAACCACAGTTTTGTCCATACCTTTACAAATATCCTGAACTCTTCCACTGTCTCATTGGCTATCAGCAGCTTCTTCTGTGCCCCTTCGAGGACCTGCTCACTTTGCAGTGCTAATCCTTGAAGTTGCTTAGAGGCTGCTGTTTCAATTTCTGCCATCGCAGTTTCAGTCTCATTTATTTTTGATGCTAGGATAGTAAGCTTGAGTTCCTGCAACAGATCAGCAATAATTAAATAAAAATATTTCATAAACAGATTTTCAAGAGTTAGTTTTGCATGTCAGACAAGGACAGGGTTTATTACTCTATTCTATATTCACTTTTACTTTGATAAAATTAATGAATTTTAAATTTTCTTTAATACAGAATTATCTTTAATGTTAATCAAATTCTCAGCATTTCATGTAGAAACACAAACACTTTTTCAATTATGTGAAATGTTTAAGTGGCTCAGAAGTTTAGGGGAGGAAAAAATGACAACATTCTTTTTTTTTTTTTTGACAGGCAGAGTGGACAGTGAGAGAGATAGATAGAGAGAAAGGTCTTCCTTTGCCGTTGGTTCACCCTCCAATGGCCGCTGTGGCTGGCGCGCTGCAGCTGCTGCACCGCGCTGATCCAAAGCCAGGAGCCAGGTGCTTCTCCTGGTCTCCCATGGGGTGCAGGGCCCAGGCACTTGGACCATCCTCCACTGCACTCCCTGGCCACAGCAGAGAGCTGGCCTGGAAGAGGGGCAACCGGGACAGAATCCGGCGCCCCGACCGGGACTAGAACCCGGGGTGCCAGCAAAGCAGGCCTATTGAGCCGCGGTGCCAGCCAAAAATGACAACATTCTAAACGAGGAAGATATCATTAAATTCTATTTCTAAGTTGAAATGTCCTAAAAACATACCTTTTTTTCTAGTTCCTCTTTAGTCCTCTGGTACATCTGTTCATACTGTGATTTTTCTTTTACAGCAACATTAAGTCTTTGCTTTAGTGAATCAATTGATATCTTCTTGTTGGAACATTCTTCAGTTAATGTCTTTACCTACAATAAAAGCACAAAGGTAATTTTTAGTGGTAAAGGTATAACAATAGTGCACTATATTTTTCAAAAGAAAATGAATCAGAGAATGCATGAGTCTAATTTTATTTATTTTCTCATGTGCAGAATCAAAATTCGAATATATATTTGCAGATCTAATTTTATAAATGAAATTTAAATCTTTAAATCAGCAAAAAACCCCAAACTTGCACAAAAATGTATGAATACTTGTAACAGAGTAACAAATAATAACATTTTTTCTTTTTCAGTTTACTGTCACTAAAGATATAAATGATTACTTATACAATGATCCTAAAGCTATATCTGAAATGACTATTGTGGTAAAAAAATGTGCAAAGTTTAAAGCATAACCTTGGGAAAAATTGTAATTTATGTGCATATATGAAAGAGAAAGAAAATCCATACGCATTTGTCATATTTATGTAACAGTTTCTCTCTTAAATCCATTTGCATTAATAGATACTTAAATTTTCATCTTCAACACGAAAGTAAGGGAGATGTTCTCGCACGAGCAGGTAACATTTAGTGAATGCCAAGGCACAAGCTGCTTTATGAGTTGCACAAAAAGCACATTTTTGTGGGTTTTTTTTTTTTTTTTTTTTTTTTGACAGGCAGAGTGGACAGTGAGAGAGAGAGAGAGACAGAGAGAAAACAACACTTTTCTAGTTTGGGGGTCATACAACTTTTTAAAATACAACACCTTAAATAAAAATAAATAAATAAAATACAACATCTTTCCAATGTATATTCAATTAAATATATACAAGTAAAATATGTAATTTTGAAAGAACTTCTGATAGCAATTTTTTTATTCAGAAATATAAGCTTGATTTTGTTATGACTATAGAAAAAGTAAAATATTGAATGAAATATATTTGTATACTCCAGAAATATGAAAGATTTTAAAAATTAAACTTTATTGTCTCTTCATCAGGTAGTCACAAACAGTAACAGAACGTGTAGCTCTATGTATATGAGATAGTCTTGAATTTTAAAAAGAATCCCGTATTTTCACAGAATAATAAAATTCACAACTATAAATATGCAGGATGCATTTTGTATGAATTTATTAGTATTGAACATTGAGTTAAGAAAGTAAATACAAGGGGAGGTGATTTTTAGTATAAGTGAACATAAAAACTAATACCTTTTTTTCAAGATTTTCTAACATTTCATTAAAACTCTCATTACTTTCTGAATTTACTTTCTGTCGAAATTTCAAGTCTTCTATCAAATGTCTTTTCATAGTTATATCCCTCTCCATTCGAGACATCCTTGAAAGGAAAAAAGATATTTTATCATGAGTATAGAAAGATATTTCAACAGTGGTGATATCTCACATACACCCAGTGTTATACTTACTGATAGTTTTTAAATGACTTCTGATATTAATGAAATTATAAGTTGGTAAAATAAATTGTACTTGACAACATTTTGCTCTATTAATATTTTTGAAATTTATCATCTAATTGTGACTTGCTTATTACAAATAAGGAGTCCTGAAAAAGTTCATTGAAAATTTATATTATGAAAAAACTGCATAGATTTCAAAGGATTTCTGGATCAAAATTAATTTTAACTCTATTTTTCCCAGAAACTCTTTTAAATACCATTGTATGTGTATTTAAATAAAAAGATGAACTGATAAATAAAATTTATGAAAATTCAGAATCAATTATACTTAAATTACATTATTGCATTGCATAGAAAAATCATTTTTAGGCATAATCAAAAAACAAACAATGGTAAGAAACAAGGCTATATTTTAATAAACAAATGCAAAATCCTGGGATATGTAAAGAAACTAAAATTAAGAATAGTATCTTCCAGTTCAGTATCATTTGAATTCATATATCAGTTTAGCTTAAGTTGACAAATTATTACTAAGTATAAGATGTTGCTACCAACACTATAAAAGAGATCTTCAAAAAGTAAGTGGAAAACACATATTATGAAAAAGCTATGCAAATTAATTTCAAGAATTTTTACATCAAAATAAACATTTTAATTCTATTTTTGAAGTACCTTCATAATATGAAAGACAATGGTTAACATTTATGGAGTTATTATTATGTGTCAGCAACAGTTAATATAAGTATTTTGTATGAATGCACTCATTTTCCTCATAAGAACCTTGTGAATTAATCCTGTTACACCAAAGCATAGAACTAGTCATTGAAGTATCCAGGATCAAAAGGGTTATTCTGGAGACCTCACTATTAAACACTAAGTAAGACAGCCTCATAGTCTATAATTTCAGGATATTCTGTTATTAAAAACTAACCAAGCTTTTTGTATAATAGTTTTATCAATTAGTGTAATATTTAAGGGTCTTTACTTATAATGTGGTATGTAGGTATGTATATCAGATATATATTATCTTAAATTTATCAATAATGACTGCAATCCTATCTAAACATACTACTGCTTCTTAGTTCTACTACAGCTACAGAAGATATAGAAAGCAATTTTCTTTCAATAGGATAAAGCATTTAAAACTCTCTTTTTATTAATAAGAATAAGAAAAGTACTTATTAACAAACACCAAAATGTACAAACTTTCAAAGCCTTTAATTATTTTAACCACAAATAAAATATGCCTTTTTTCACCTTAGAGTTACAAGTTTAGGCACTAAACTCAACAAAAGTATCAGTCTATATACAATATTTTCGGTCAAATTATGGACATATATGAAAGCTTTTTTTTAGTCTTAAGGCCATTAATTTATATTTGTTCAAAATATTAAAAGAGAAATCTAACTTTAAATATTTCTGCCCTAATTTAAAAATAGTAACTAGCCTGACACTAATCATATGTAATACTCCTTAAATAGTCATCTTTTGTAGGTTTAAACATGAACTAAGGAAGGAAAACTTCATTGTTAAAAAATGTTAATATTGTTCCTTGGGGCACAGCATTTAATTGAGTTGAACACCACTAGGTGGCACCAAATACAGCAGATAAAAATATAAAGATCGTACTTTTCGTGTATTTCCTTTATGTGTTCTTCTTTCGCTAAGAGTTCAAATTTCAGAGACTTCACATTTGATGACTGCTTAGTGAGTTCATTAGTTGCATTCTAGATTAAAAATAAATAAATTTTAACATACTTTTTCAACCTTGGACTAATGTAGCATAAAATAATTTATACCATTCTTAAAAAGAGTAATGAATTCACAATAATTACAATGAACAATAATGACAGTTTTACATTTTTAAATGTTTAATTTTGTATACTCTAACATATAATATAGTCATACTAAAATTTTTTATATAACATACCAAACTGCAGAGGGACAAAATCAAGTAACAACTATAGGGTACACACTCAATTTATAGGAAATATGAATTGTTCTAGTAGAAAGTAAATGTGTAAATAATTAAGAGTTGTAAAGGTTTTATAAGACCATTTAAAATGAATGCTAGATACACTAACAAACTGTAGCAGATTAGATATGGTCACACATGACAAGGAATCCATTTCCCATCCTTTGAATAAAGCCTGGCTTGTGATTTGCTTTGATCAAAAGAAATGTGGCAGAAATGACACTGTGCAAATTCCAGATTCTGAGTCTTCAAGCCTCATGGCTTCTTCCTTTGCCTCTTGGAATGCTGTCTTGGGATTGCTTTGCATGGAAGGTAACTGAAAGGCCCTACAGAAGAGAATGGAGGTGGACCAGGCAACAGTCAGCAGATCAATTGCCAGAGCTGTCAATGGGCTATCTTGGGCCTTCCAGCCAGGTGGATCAATCTTTGATTTAGAAGGAAGACACCAGCAAAAGAACTACCTAACCAATTCACTGAAGCCTAAGGAATACTAAACTGCTGTTGTTTTAAACCAAAATGTTTTGGAACAATTCCTTAGACAATGACATAACTGATAGAGAATCTTACGAATACTAAATACTTCTTCACTTGAACTTATTAATAAAACTACCTATTATTAAGCATTTATACATAATTCTATGGTTGGATACTGTTTAACTGAGTCCCCTAACAGGTCCATGTGCTGGTGGCTTGGTCTCCAGGGTGGTGGCACTGGGAGGTAGGAGAGCCTGTGAGGGGTAGGGCCTCATGGATGCTCCCAGGTGACTGAGGATGCTGCCTGCAGAACAGAATACTATTCTCCTAGAGTGAGTTCTTAGGAGAGTGAGGTGTTACAAAGCCTGACCCTGATCCCTGGATCTCTCTGTCTGCCTATTTGGTGATGTAATTGCTTGTCTCCACAAGAGCTCTCATCATTGACAACCGCCATGATGTGATACAGCCAAGAGGGAGGGGCCATTGCCTTTCTAGAGCTGAGGTTATGCCAGTGCCATGCATGGTAAATGCCGAAACTGTGAGCTAAATGGACCTCTTTTCCTTCACATGTAGCCTGCCTCAGGTATTTTATTGTAATAATGCAAAACTGACTCGTAAACATAATTATTATTTGTTTAAAGCAGAATAGGTTTGCAGTATTTGTTGCCTACACAGGAGCCAGAGGTAGTCACTAGAGGGTAAGGGCACCTAAGTTTCAAATTAGACTCAAATTCCAATTAAATATGTAATCTGAGATACTGCTTAGTCTTTTTGGTGTTTTAGCTTTTCCACTCAAAGTTAATGTTGGTGTACTAACATGAATACCTTTGTTATGTTTAAAAACTATTAAACTAATATGAACAGAAAGAAACATGCTAGCTTTAAAATATTTAGAGTAGTTAGCTAATCTTTCTAAACTATAGTAAGTTATTTCTGTTAGAACTACTTCTGGTTTGGATGTTTGCCTCATGTCAAAAATTATTTGTATTTGAAAAGATAAAACCACTAATCACACAAGGAAAAGATAAATCAGAATAGTCAGGCCAGCTTTAAATTTAACATTGGAGGCTGGCGCTGTGGCTCACTAGGCTAATCCTCCGCCTAGCGGCGCTGGCACACCGGGTTCTAGTCCCGGTCGGGGCGCCGGATTCTGTCCCGGTTGCCCCTCTTCCAGGCCAGCTCTCTGCTGTGGCCAGGGAGTGCAGTGGAGGATGGCCCAGGTGCTTGGGCCCTGCACCCCATGGGAGACCAGGAGAAGCACCTGGCTCCTGGCTCCTGCCATCGGATCAGCGCGGTGTGCCGGCCGCAGCGTGCTGGCTGCGGCGGCCATTGGAGGGTGAACCAACGGCAAAGGAAGACCTTTCTCTCTGTCTCTCTCTCTCTCACTGTCCACTCTGCCTGTCAAAAAAAAAAAAAAATTTAACATTGGTATAATCAGTAAGAAAAAAATTGAAATGATTTTGAATTCTATATGAAATATAATTATTTCTAAAAACTACAAATTGCCTCAATATGACAACTGTTCTGAATGTTGTAAGTTGTGATCAACTGTGTGTATATTGCAATCTAAATATCCACCACTTTTGCATGTTTGCAGCGCGGTATAGTGTCTTATTTCTAGCATTGCCAGAAGAAGATATTCCTCACTAGCCAATTTACCAACTAACTGAAGTTTCAATTCTTTTGGAATTACTATTCATTTAGAAATATGACCATGCACAATTTTGATAAGGTAATTTTGATACATCAATATGAAGGTACTTCAAAAAGCTGATGGAAAATGAAATGAAAAGATAAGTTTATTTTGGTGCAAAAAATTTTGAAATCCACACAAATGAGGGAAAGCCAAAAAGTTCATGGAAAATGTACATTATGAAAAAGTTACACGTGAATTTAAAAAATTTACAATAAGCATAATTCCATTTTTATCAACTTTTTGAAGCACCCTCATAAAGTGATATTTTGTTATAAATATTATTGCTGTATTATATATCTATCTATTCCATGATCACTATCCCATAATATAGTGATGCTTTAGGTACAATTGTGATATAAACATGTATTTATCCCTATTGTAGTTGACCCTAGATTGTTGTGTTTTTTTTTTCCAATTTTGTAATTTCTTCTTTTGTTTTGGTTTCTGTTAATCTATTTGTTGCAAATTTTTTGCTTCTGTCAATAACCCTGTCTAAAAAACAATTATCTTTCTCTTAATTGGTGCATATTTCTAATATGCTGCTTTTAAGATGTTTTCTGCTGAGACATAAAATATACAAACTTAGAACTGTATTTAAAATAAAAGACAACAGGCAATAAATAAAACCTGATAATATCTTCAACTGAATAAATAAACTGGATTTTAAGATAGGTGTTTGATTATTTTCTGTTTTTAAAACTAAAGCTATATTTTATATGGCTAAAAATGCTGTGACTAAATTTTGGATAACTGAGGAATTTTATAACAAATACAACAATGCTAGCTTGATAAATACTTTTGTCAAAAATCTATAAATCTGACAGTTACTTGATTTTTAGAAGTCCTTATACGATGGTTTGAAAGGTATTCTTGCTTTAGACATCTGAAGAAATTAAGTGATTTTTCTTGACCAGGTTCCACAAGAAGTTACTGGCCACAAGTGATCAAAACCCAGGTCTTTTGTTCCCTTTCCAGTTCCTACTACTCGATATTATCAGCAACATGTGTTAAAATTTTGTGTAAAACACTTAATTCAAAAAAAAGGTTGGTGTAAAACACATATTTCAAAAATGTAACAATGGTAAGAATCCAGACTGGTTCTAAGCTTTCTAAAACTAAGTTTACTGAAAATTTTTTTTAAAAGTTTTGACAGTATAATGGTTAAAAGCATTGACTCTGCAACCTGATGGCCTGTAGCCATTTACTACTTAGTAGTTGTGTGACCTGGACAACTAATATTCTTTCTGCGCCTGAGTTTTTGCAACTGTAAAATAGGGATAATAACAGAGTCAATTTTACAGGACTGAAATGAGAATTAAATGAGCTGATATTTCTAAAATATTTAGAACCAGCTTAGTAACCAGTTATACACAAAGGAATGGTAGCTTAAACACCACTATCCCTCATTACTATTAACTTACTGGCAAAACAGAATATGAAAAAGGAATGTTTTTCAAAAATCTGGAATTCAAAAATAAGAAATACAATTTGGAGTACTATTTAATACAGATTGTATGAAAAAAAAAACCCTCCAAATAAAGTAAATATAAAGAACTGATATAAATATCATTCACTATAAGGAATTTATGTATCTCTAAATATTTTATTATGGAGCTATATAAATTTGGGTAGTACCCTGAGGAAATGTGTCTATATAAGTAGAAACGAAAATACAGAAAAGTGCATGACAGCACTGTAACATTATTGATTGAACTAGACACCTGAAAATACACATAACAAATTGTTAACGGTCTATTATTAATTAGACAGGATAAAAAAGATGTATGTAGACCTTTAACAGATTCAAATCTAACTAATCTCAATTAAGTATAAAAATATCAATTAGAAAATAAATTACTTCTCAGATAATCACTGTGTTAGCAATTTGATATCTGTTATGGGATAAATTGTGTCTTCTCATGAATTTCATATGTTGAAATCTCTATCTACCCTCCAGTGCCTCAAAAGTGAGTGTATTTAAAAAAGTAATTAAGATAAAATGAGATGATTAGGTTGTACCTTTGTCTTAGTCAGCTTTTCATCACTCTAACTAAAATAACTGGGAGGAGCTGCTTAGAAAGCAAGGTTTAGTTTGGCTTACATTTTTGGAAGTTCACAGTCCAAGATCAGACAACACTTTTAGTCTGGCATGCTGATGTTGGAATGTGTGCAGAGGGAGGATCGCCTGGCATGCCGGAAAGCAAACAGAGACAGGAGGTGTGCTCAGCTCACATAACCAACCCTCACTAGAAGAGGAGACTACTTTCTACAGGCATATCCCAGTGACCTCAAGAATTCCCATTGGGCCCATCCCATCCTTAATTCATCAACATTAACATTTTTTCATTAACTGTCAGTGTAAGAATTTGGAGTTTAATCTGTTTGGGGAGTCCAATTCTATTCAACTTGTAAGAGCACTAATTTAATATGATGATGTCTTTATAAGAAATTAGGACAGATATATATAAAAGGTAGACTTTATCAAAGATATAGGGAGAGGGGCCTCAGAATAAATAAAATCTGGTGATACCTTGAATTTGGAATTCCATCTTCCAGAATTGTGAGAAAATAAACGTTGGTTGTTTAAGCTGCCCCCACCAGTCTTTGGTGGTTTGTAATGATAGCTCTAGCAAAGTATTACAATATTGAAACTAAAATTTTTAGAAGCAGAGGGTATTATATTCTTAAAGATATCTAATCTTCTAAGAAATTCCTATATTAAAATGTGACACAAAACAAATGTAAGATTTATCCTTTTTGCCCTATGCAGCCTGGTCAGTGCTACAGGACTTCATGTTAGACATGGCCCACATCACTTCAAACTAAATTGGTTTAGGCATTCTCAGTGGTCTCATCTTTCTGACTCACAAATCCCTGAAAAGCAAGAGAGAGATTTATATAGTGGCTGAATCTCTCATCATGGGAAATAATAATAATATAAATAACTTACAGATACTCATATGGGCCTGCTCTTAGTAAAAGTTATTTAATTGGACCATTTTGGTTGTTATTTTCTATTCTAATTTTTATCTGTAATTGCTGTTAGACCATTCGTAACATCAAATAAATAAAATGTAAATCAACTTAAAACCATTAACAATTTTTAGAGGATTAGACAACAGTAGATTTAACATTTTCTTTATCTTGGTAAGAAATAGTTACATTAAGATCATGAGAGGCAGGGGATATGGTACAGTAGGTTAAACCACTACTTGTGATGCCTGCATCCCACGTGGGGGTGCCTGGTATTGAGTCTTGCCTCTGCTTCCAATCCAGCTTCCTGCTAATGCATCTGGAAGGCATCAGGAGGAATTAACATCTATTTTGTAGGTAAGAACAAAGAATAAATCAATGATTTGATTTTCTGTATATAAACCCTAAACACTGAAATGTTCAAGTTATATATTTTATCACACATTTTCAAAAACAGCAGTATAATCTAAGAGAAGATATACAACCCCAGGCTTTCAACTTTTTTTTTTCTTTTTCTAATATAATCAGCCTATTTAAGATTACAAGATGTGGGGCCAGGGCCTGCGGCGTGGCTCACTTGGTTAGTCCTCCACCTGCAGCACCGGCATCCCACATGGGCACCGGGTTCTAGTCCCGGTTGCTCCTCTTCCAGTCCAGCTCTCTACTGTGGCTCAGGAGGGCAGTGGAGGATGGCCCAAGTGCTTGAGCCCCTGCACCAGCATGGGAGACCAGGAAGAAGCACCTGGCTCCTGGCTTCAGATCGGCACAGTACTGGCCGTAGCGGCCACGTGGGGAGTGAACCAATGGAAGGAAGACCTTTCTGTCTCTCTCTCTCATTGACTATAATTCTACCTGTCCAATTAAAAAAAAAAGGAAGGGCTGGTGCTGTGGCACAGCAGGTTGACGCCTTGGTCTGAAGCGCCGGCATCCCATGTGGGCACTGGTTCGAGACCTGGCTGCTCTACTTCCCATCCAGCTCTCTGATATGACCTGGGAAAGCAGTAGAAGATGGTCCAAGTCCTTGGGCCCCTGCACCCACCAGGGTGACCCAGAAGAAGCTCCTGGCTCCTAGCTTTGGATCGGTACAGCTCCAACCACTGTGGCCAGTTGGTAAGTGAACCATTGGATGGAAGACCTCTCTCTCTCTCTCTGCCTCTCCTCTCTCTGTGTAACTCTTTCAAATAAATAAATAAACCTTAAAAAAAAAAAGATTACAAGATGTATAGTTGAGACAAGAGCTACACATAAAAACACTCCCAAGGTTAGAGTATTCAAGAAGCATCTCAATCAATTATTAAAGCAAAACATTTTCTTTTCTCATTTATTTGACAGGCAGTGACAGAGAGAGAAGACAAGACAGAAAGAGAGATCTTCTATTCATTGGTTTACTCCCCAAATGCCCATAAGAGCCAGAGCTGGGCCACGCTGAAGCCAGGAGCTCTGAAATCCACCCCAGTATCCCGCTTGGATGTCATGAAGCAACTGCTTTTTAAGCAATGGTACACTCATTCATTTTAAATCTTATGCTGCTAGTAATCCTGCATGAAAAGATATTACTATTATTATGGTTATTATCATTATTGGAGAATACACATATTGTATTTTGGATTGAAAACAACTATGAGTCTATTTGACAACTCAATATTCCAATGCCCTCTGAACAGTCATAATTATTCCATTTCTAATATACTCTGTGCATTTACAATAAAAAATTTTCTTTCTAGTGACTTGCATAACAACCATGGTCCCATACATGCTGTGTTTTTAGATTTCAGCTAGCAATCCCCACTGAAAAAAATAATTAAACATGTGAGGAATAAATGAGCTTGTTTTAAGCAGCATGAAAATGAACTTTCCAATTGAAATTTACAAATTCTGTCCTTGCAAGATTATTCTATTTAAACTAAGGTCAGTTTTACTTTAAAGTTGTTGACAGTTTCATCTGGATTTGGATACAATTCTTGATAAACAAAAGGAACACTGCATTTTATTCTTACTCTCAGGTTTAAGATGCTGAAATGTATTAAGCCAACTCACCTTTGCTTTCAGCTTCTTCTTCTCCCACCCTGACATCCCCATCTCCAACCGACACAACTAAATTAAAACAGTAGTGTGTGTGGAGGAAACACTTCTATTTATTTTGGCATATGCATTTGAAAGATTTTGTTCAGTTGGAGGGAGACATATGAAACACAGAGGACTTGAGTATTGGAGTAGAAGACAATGGCCAATTTCCATCAGCTCCTAAGTTAGGATTTCACAGTGTGTTGTTACTTTTGTTTGGAGAACAGTACTATGAGTTACCAGATAAGAATCTACAAGGTTAAACTTGACTGATGAAATCAAGCATAGTATTGATAGTTTTTGGATTATTTATGTATATATTATTTAATATATATATAATTTATATAATTTATCTTTTTGAATAGAGTTGATATAAACGTATCTTTGGATTCAGTGACTTAATATGCTTCCACGCTTAATAAATTCTGTAATCACCTTTAGTTTACACTGCAATTGCTTCATTTCCATATCCACACTCCTTGAAGGACCAAGTGATGTAACCTGTACCCGTGGAACTGTGACCCGGGAAATTTCTTCTGCTAAACTTGTGATTTCAGATGAGGACTCCAATTTCTTTAGTAAATCTTCTTTTTCTTTTCGAAGCCCAGCCAAATCTGAGTTTAGCTTCTTTAAAAATAAACATAAGAATATTGTAAAAGTTCTTACATTGAACCTAAAAATTATAAGCATCAAATTCTATAGGCAGGAAAATGATAAAGAAATTATTTATACAAGTAGTTAGTATAAAAACTTTACAAAAATTTTAACCTCTATTGGCTTTTGCTTAAGTTTGTAGGGCTTATCAAGTTAAAACAAAATGAACCAGCTGTACTCAATAGCTTTTGGTTGGCTGGCCTTTACTTGTGATGCACAATTTCTTTGCCTTCACATACATGGGTGAGCCAGAGATTCACATGCTCATATTTGATAACCTTGACTCCAGGGCTGATCAACTTAACTGGTAAAAGCCAAGCTGGAGCAGGACAAGATAACAGATGTTAGTTGTTTATTCCATTGGGTAGGTCTTACCACCCTACATAGCAGCCAAAATGTTTCTCATTTAGCAACATCAATGTTAAGTCCAATTAGCAGACAAGGCTTGTTGGAGATTTAGTTCATGTAAATAGCATGCAAACAAACCCGCTCAGTTTTATGTACTTGATTGATAGTTGACAAGCCTTATTTGTAATGTTGAGGTAGAGGAGCTGTAAACTCATTACATTTGACTTATTAATAACATAAACATTTTGCTAAATGACATTCTTGTATTGCTTTTATGAAGGAATGTAAGAGACTGCCTTAATGTTAGCCCTTCTCATTCACCACTCTAAAGTCAGCAGAATGTCACCAAATATGATGAATTAATAACTCAGAACTCTTTAAGAGAGTTACTACACTATTTTATTATTCCAAAGAAGCTTATAACATGGTAGTTTAACATAAAGAACAATTAGACAAAATGATACTAAAATTTCTCAGACAGGAAAATATCTTTCTTTGTCAAGAATTATAATTACAAACAGCAAAAAAATGTAGCTAAAGTGTACAGTAATATAAACATGGGCCAAATATTATTTAACATTGTATTTAAATACAACTTTTAGGAACTATACAATAAACCCATAATTACATATGTATATGCATATTATTAAAATGAACATTTCAGATCATGGATTCAAATCTAAGGCTTGGTTTATTTGAGATTAGCATATGTTGTGGTGAAATAAAAAGTATATTTTGGTTATACTGTAGCTTATGATCTAAAAGCAGGGTTCTATAGATTTTTCAGGGAATATTTTTTCATGAATTGTCCCAAAGTCCCCAAAAAAGTATTAACATCTAAAAATGAACTCATAATTTCCTGAAAGCAGAAAATCTTTCTGAAAATCCATCATCCATGCTTGGGCTGATCTCCCTCCTCTATGTCCAGTCGGTGGTCAGGTTTTGTAAGCTACCTTATGCCTCTCATATTCAATCCTTTTGGCTGCTCTACTGATGCCAACTCTCAGCCCACTGACTGCTGCAGCAACTTACCCTTCAGCCTTTCCCCACCTTTACACAGCCTTTATACAGCTTCCCAAAATAACACTCGACCTGCTAGTACCTTATTCAAAGCCCTTCAGGGATTCTTCATCAAAATAGAATAAAGCTCATATATTTGTGGATAATAAAACTCTCTAGTATTTAGCTTTAATTTGTGTTTCAATCAGATATTACCTGAAGTCAAATTTGCCTACCATTCCCCAAACTGTCTGTCATTTCCACATCAATGACTCTAGACACTGAAATCGGAAACCTCTGTTGTTCTTAAAGGGAAGCTTAGTATTTCTGCCTTTATTCTCAGCTTCTTTGTTCTTGTCTTCTCTTAGTCTTCAGTAAAATAGCTCTTCCACTCCATTGGCTCCCGTAGAACAATGCATGTTCCTCAACCAAGAACTCTAGTAAATTTAAATCTTGGAGAGAGGACTGTGTCTTTCTCCACATACATATATTCTCAAAGAATCTAAAAATAGTGCGTCATGTATAAGAAAGTTGCAAAAAATTTAAATCTCCCTCTTTGTACAGATGATGCTATGTAGAGACATATTTTGATTGCAGCTTTAGTTCATAATCTAGTAGTTTACATATAAATTAAAATACATATTTTTCAGTAATGCAGTATTAAATTTTTACTTAAGTACTATGTAGCAGAGTATTTCTCAATTATGAAGTTAATGCTTTGATCTAAATTAGACATTTTGAGATTACAATTTGGCAAGGATGGACTTCAAGGTGGAATCTCAGGCAAGAAGGAAACGTAAAATTTGAGGAGGCCTTTTCTCCTTACAAATAGTCCCAACCGGCTCCCCGCAGTTGTTCACTTGTGTGCTACTAGATTTCTGTCTATTCCTAGTACACTGGCAAATCGTAACTCTAGGAATGTTTTTTCATCAAGGCAGGTGGAGCCAGTAAATAGACAAGGGAACTTCAAAAAGTTCATGAAAACTGAAATTAAAAAATGTTTTATTGCCAAAAATTTGAAATACATGCAAAGTTTTTTGATAATATGCATTTTTCATGTTTAGAAGACTCTTCATAAGCACAAATTTCAAATTTTGCACCAAAATCAACTTATTTTTTTATTTCATTTTGACAAATTTTTTGAAACATTCTCATATTTCTCTAAAAGGTATGCATATGTAAATTTACATCAATTTAATAATAAAAATTTATTAAATGAAAGAATACTGAAATCATGGAGATGATAAAATATACTTGTCTTTTTTAAGAACACATAATATTTTAATCAAATAATATTTAAAATCTATAATCTTTAAAATATATTTTAATATTAGTTATAAGTACACAGAAATGCTACAGAGTACTTGCTGAAAGACAAAGTATACAAATTATATATTCTATCATTTTGGAATCTTATGGTTATCCTTTGAGATTTTGAAAAAATGCTGACACTCCCTCAGGAACTTTACCTTGGTATGGGAAAATCTATTTCTCATTTGAAAAATGCTATAGATAATATAAGAAGTATAAATAATTTTCTTTTGTGTCCACTTAGTTTGGGTAGTGAGGCTCATTTTGACCTCGTTAGAAAGATATTGTGCTGTAAACTCCACCAATAAGATGACTACTTTTAAAATTATTTTGCTTTTTTATTGGCAGCATATTTCCTGTTTCTCTATTATTGCATATCCAACTCTAATCAAAGACTGTAAGATATTAAAATCAAATTATATTATGTTAAAAAAAATAGAAAGAATAACAGAACACACATGGAAGAATCATAACTTCCAGATTCTAGTTTTCTGGGTTACTGCTTACCTGTTGAGTGACCACTAGCAAGGAAGTGATCTTGTTTCCCTTTTTAAAAACAGAGATGATGCCTGCCTACCTAACAAAGATAATTTTGAGGACAAAATTTTAAAAACATTTATGATAGCACCTGGTAGGTTCTAAATATGCAGCAGTATTGTTAGCATTATTATTTTGTAGCAAATGCTACCATTTGGAATCTGAAAAGGGTCTTAAAGGATGGGGACTTCTATTAATAAATAAATAAATTAACTGCTTAATATAAGTAAATAATAATCCCATATTTATCTCATGATAGAAACAAGTCATGGTACTTGCTTGATCAGGATGAATTTAGGATTCCAACTAGACCACCTGCTTAATGAAGGCAGATATGTGTCTCCAGTGTAATCTCCCCATAGTCTTCTAAAAGTTGACTTCAGTAAGCACTGGGATTTGTCTCAATTTATGTGTAGTCAATTACTTCTAAGCAAAGGCTATAAAATAGAATTCAGCACTAAAATTTTTTAAAAATAGATGCTAGCTACTAATTATTTATCTAAATATAACACTGAGGAAGTCAAAGGCCCTATAAAGGAACAAACCTTGTAAGCCACTATAAGAAAGAGACAATAGTACATATCCTGAAGATTTTATTCTTCAGTAATGAGTCCTGTGGGAGACACAGTTCTCAGATTACTCCCCCAGTGACTCCTTCTATATTATGCCTTGCTACAATACTCTCACCTTGTATATGGGTGGGATCTGTGAGTAAGATGGGCAATCACTTTTGTGATTAAATTATAGGAAGCAGGGATTCTGGAAATGTAATAGGGGTCTCTAATCAAGTGACTCCAAGTTAATGAAAAGCAAGAGTATCCAGGCTGGTTCTGACCTAATCAGGCAAGATCTTTCAAAGGAAGTCAGGGGCCCTCCAAGATCACAGATTCTCCTGCTGGTCTTGAAGAGGTAAGTTGTCATGTTATGAAAGGACTGTAGAGGCAGCCACAAGGCAAGGACTTCATAGAGGCCTCACAGAGTTGAGAATGGTCCCTGGCTGGCAGCCAGCAAGAAAACAAAGACCTCTGTTTTGCAGCCACAAGGAACTAAATTTTTCCAAAAACCACGAGTCTGGGAGAGAAGCCTAAGCTTCAGAAAGCAGGGCAGCCTGGCTGGCACCCTGATTGCAACCCTGCAATACTCTGAGCATAGGACACTGTGAAGCCATCCTCAATCCTGTTCCAAGAACACTATGGGATAATGAATGTGTTTATCATTTCCAAGCTGCAAAGCTTCTACTAATTTGCTATACAGTACAGAAAACCAATACATGCCCCCGTTAAAAAAAAATCAGCTTCTTTCTTTAAACTCCTTCTTGAACTAATCTTCATTCCCTTACTGCTAATTCTGCCCTATCTTAAGCAAGTACCCCAAATCCCAGGGTATATGATGGATAAAGTATGGTAACTAGGCTTTTCTTTACCTATGACTTCACATTGATTTTGTGTTTTCAATTGTTTTTAAAAATTGCTCCACTTCTTACACTAGAAATATAAACTGCCTGTATCAGATTTGCATTTTATAATTTAATTGCCAAGCAAAAAGCCTCTGGCCAGAAGCTTTCATTTGCTGGTCTCAAATATAACTGTGGAATCCAAGAACAGAGTAAGTCTCCCTTGGCCTACTCTCCCTTGTTCTCTTATATGGGATTTCATTCACAAACTTTTATTTTAGGCCATAACTTGACATTTTCTAGAGGATTTGGATAGGGGGTACCCAGATTCAGAATCTCAGTAATTATGATTCATTCTTTTTTATATATATCATGTGATAGGCAT